ATTAAGAATTTGAAGATAATTTATATATTTACCTATATTATTTTCAAGTAAAAAGATAATGTTCAGTGAGAAAAACTCAAAGCATCATTTATGAAAAATCTGCTTCTGGTTTAACTACTCTTCAAGACAAGAATCTACCTTAAGTGAGCCCAAAAATATATTATAAAATTATTAAAAATTTCAATAAATCTTAAATAAATATGCAACGAATCTTTTAAAATCCCTTTAAAATATCAAATAAATATCTAGTTAACCTTTTAAAATCTTTAATAAATAATTATAGATATAATTATAACTTTAATTATTAAGATTTCAATTTGATTTCACAAATTAATTTAGAAAAAAAAATGAACTCAATAAGATCTCTACTAATTGTTCTCAATTATATTTCAAACAAATTATATTATATTTAAGGAAATAGTGCCTATCAACCTTACCTTCTAAAGATTAGAAAGAAAATCATCCCAAAACTATGTCGTTTCAATAATTTTTTATTAAAAAAGACTAAACTACCATATTTTTAAAGCATGTATTAAGGTGATTTGTGTCCTTTTTTCTCTTAATTTTTTGGAAATAAGACGGACAAGCGCTAACCCCTATATTTAAAATAGCACTTTGCAAATTGATTCTTATTTACTCAATTATTAATAGTAAAAAAATAATAATTAAGTTATGAATAGTTTTGGATAAACATATTAATTAATAAAGATTATTAAAATATCAAGAATTATGAATAATTATAACTTATAATACGTAGAACCGATAGATGTGTATTAACTTGATAATGACTATATCAACTTTTAAGGGGAGAAAGAATAAGGTTTTTCTAATATATGCTCTTAGAATATAGGTTAAAAGTATAATTATTGCATATTTTAGCCATTAAATCTTATAGAAAAATTTTAAAAAAATTGATATAATGTTAACACTAATGACATATGTAATATTTTAATTGGTTAGTTGGTAAAATTAAAATTAATCTTTATTTTTTCTATGTAATTTAATGACTAAAAGGTATAATATTTACATCATTTAGGGTACAGATTAAAAAAATTTAAAGAATAATAACAAATAAATTATTAATATAGAAAAAGTGAGGACAAATATAAGTAAATAAATAAATATATTGATAACATATGTAAGATTAAGTTAAAAGATAGAGTCGTAAGAAAGGTTAGTGAAAAATAGAGTATAGGTAAATGGAAAGATACCAAAAAAAAAAAATGCAAATGTATTATATTTTTTATATTTTGACTTAAAGCCTTTTGATATGGGTATTCAAGAGAGGAGATTAATTTGGGTTAAAAAAGATATATAATGGTAACAATTATAACCAATTACTTGTTGGTTGAGTACAAGGAATTCAATTTTTCTTAAATAAGATCTTAAGTTCGAAACTTGTAAATACAAAAACAAGTGCTAGGAAAGATTCACTCATTATAGGATCTGATACTATTCGATTTTGAATTAATTGTTATTTAATATGATTTCTGAATACGAAAGGTTATTAGAAAAAAAAAAGTAATAGTTGTAGATGCTGAGATAAAATATTAATAAAAATTTGATAAATTATTCTATCATGCTTACTAGGTTGAAAACTTTTAATTAATATGAAAGTTGAATATATGTTTATAATAAATTAATAGGTGTTTGAAATAATTTTATATTAATTAAAAATTAGTTTTAATTAAAAATTAATTTTATTATATTTAATAATTATTTAAAAAGTGTCAAATTAATTGCTATTTTAGAGACTAGTATTATGGTTAAAGTAAAAAAATAATTAAATTAATAAATACTCAATAACAATAAAATTAAAATATAAAAAATATTTATCTCCTTTAAAAAATTAATTGATATAAATTTTTAGTAATAGTTATTTACGAATGAAATAAGAGTTTTAATCGAGTTTTGGACTTTTTTTTAAAGGTTTGTCTAACTTGTATCCTTAAGATAAGATTCAAAATATATTAAATATGTTTTTTTGTCATAAATTTATGTTAAAAAATAAAAATCAATCTTTAATTTATTAACTGTCCAATTAAATTCATCTGACTCTAAAATTAATATCAACTTTAACATTTTTTATGTACATTTATGATAAAAATATGTATTTAATATATTCTTAATTTGTGTCATGTTTTTAAGGCATATGTTATAAAAATCCTTCTTTTAATGCATCAAAAACCCCCTTAGAAACTTCTTGTGAATTTATTGTCAGTAGTTTTTTTTTAGAAAAAGAAAACCAGTTACAACACTAGATAATTTAACATTGTAAAACTTTAGAGAATAAAATAAAAAAAATATACTTATTTATTTTTTTTCCTTTATTTTTACCAAATCGCTTATTTATACTTTGCACATATTTTTTTATGATTAACACCTTTCAGTTGATACATTCTATAATTTAAAATCTACAAAAAAAAATCCTAAATTATCAATAAAATCAAGGTGTAAATAAGAGATTTTATTGTTAATTTTTGGATTTTTAAAAAATTTTAAATTATAAAAAATGCTGAAAGTAAAAATTTGTGAGGATATTAATTATAAAAAATTAATATACAAAATATGAATAGAGAGTTTGTCTCGTCTTCTTCTTCTTCTTCTTTTTTGTCCTTGCTTGTAAGAATAAACCACCTTTTCTTTGGTCATCGTAAGTATACAATACCAAACAAGCGTTTTAATGACACGCTTTTTTTTTTTTCTTTTAGAAAATTCATTCATGGAGTCCATTATAGGGCCAGTTCTTGGAAATGTAGTAGGTGAACATGTAGATTGCCACAGAAACTTCCAAAATGATGTGGATGATCTCAGAAAAAGAGTGGCAGATCTAAAACGCAGAAGAAATGATAGAGTAGCAGAACTACAAATAGTGGATGACTCGGAAAAACAAGTTAAAGAAGAAGTGCAGGGATGGCTTGAAGATGCAAGGAAGGTCATTGAAATTGAAATGCCAGATATTGAAGGACAGGTGCAGAATGTTTCATACTTGTCACGTGGTAACCTTGGGAGACGTGTTCGTCAAAAGATTCAAGAAGTGAGGGAAATTAACGATCAAGGTAGTTTCCCTCAAGGTCTTGTAATTGAAAGGTCTCCAGCTATTGGAATCACTTTGCCAACAGA